ATATCTTCTGGTTTCTCATCCTATCTGGTACAGATCTCATCATTCACTGAAAGTCTGCTGTGTTATTTCTGTCATCGTCTGGTTTGTTCCTCTGATCTTTGCAGACTTTAGGTATTCTATGTATTTTCACTCTCTGCCCGTATCGATCGGCTGTTTAATCCCCTACCCGATAATCATTCTGTGTTTTATCGGCACTTGTCGCGGTCTTTCACGCGCAATATCTCTTACTTCTGTAAAGCGCAAAAAGATTTTGGGCAGTTTGTTCCTGGTGCTTCTGACTTACACTTTTCTCATTCTCCCCTACATAATCATGAATTTTATTCTAATTTATAGTCCTAACAGTTTCTGGGGGCTATTTTTCTTTATATTTTGGGATTTTTCTGAGTATCTCCTGCTCCTGAACCCGCTGGCTGACTGTGTCCTGTACATGTTCATCAGGCCTGATGTCGGAGGGTTAATGAAGTCTGTTCACTGCTGTTGTAGAACTGACACACATCAGGATTCGACACACACACGGGACGAACACTCTGGAGACAGTAGAGCAGCGTTTGCCTGCTGTGTTTCAATGCTAAAGCCTGCGTCTCATTCACGGACCTGCACTTCCATGCTGTGATGATGTCATCCTGAAATAAATAAATAAATTGGAATGAAATGCTTATTTGTCCAGCATTTATCAGTCATCATTCATCTGTGAAAATAAACTGAGATTATTATCCACAAATACAAAATTCTATATTATATGAATTTACATTCACCATAAGATAATTGCCCTAATCAAGATGGCAACATGTTTATTAGTCCAGCCCTAGTTACCTTTATCTGGATGACGTGCATCCAGTGCCGATCCTCCCTATACACACACTACGCAAGCGGCGCAAATTACTCAAGGCTCCACCTCCCCCTTGTGTTAACGCGTGTCAATCAAAGTTTACAACATCGATGAGATCATTAAGCAGAACGATCCTTCCTGTGACGAAAAGAGAGACTGAGAGAAGAACATCATGTGAGTGAATGGGGGATTATAACGCTTCCGGGTTGCATGTCCACTTCCGACGCAGTTCAACAATGGCGAAGGCTATATGTGTCACTGCTCTGTCCCACTTTGTAAATCTAACCAACAACGCCAACCCTACTTAAGTTTTCATGGATTCCCGACTGAATTGAGTATAAGGAAGAAGTGGATATACGTATATATATATATATATAATCATAATATCCTTTTGAATGCTTATGTTTTTCTTTCATAAAATCAATAATTGAGTATATTCATTATTACTTAATCATTTATTGACATATATTACTCTTTGTGCTTTTGCTTGTGAAATAATATTCTTAAATGCATGCTGATGTAAGTCACCAGCTTCTTTTAGGTGCACAAGGCCATTTGTCTCTTTCTCTGGTCTCAGGAGAAAGGTTTATGGATCCTAAAGGCGTCATGAACACATATGTCCAACACATATGATACTTCTCTGTACAGATGGTCAAGCTATATTGAACTTTAATTGTTGTATTAAAATGTATTCTTTCTATGATATTTCTTTTCTGGGGAGCAAATGTTATCTGTTTTTCTCCCAAACGAGTGAATGTTTTACCATTATGTTTTGGTACACTTAAGTGGAGGTTTCATGTCTTTTGAGTGTTTGGGGCGAAGAGTGCGGGCAAAAATGCAGGGTTGTTACAGAAATAAATCTGTATTTGAAGACATCTGTATTCACGAGATATGTGGCACCGTTTTAAGCGCTCGTGGCTACATTGCCTCTCCTCTTTTTTCTCCACTGTACAAGACCAAAGTTTTGATGACTTTTCAAAAAATTATGGAAAGAAAAACACTGGATAATTTTATTCGCATCTGCATCCATTGAATTTCGTGCTGTTTTATTTAATTTCCCGGGTCAGAGCGTCTGCATTTGGTAGTTTCAGCAGTGTATAGTATAAATGCAAAAAATCGGATATAGGTCACTTTTAAAAGATGATGTAAGCAGGTCATCAGAAAAATCGGATATAGTCAGAAAATCGGATTTGGGCATCAAGACCTGCAGTGTAAATGCAGCCTTAGATACCAATTTCTCACAAAAATAGGGGGCGTGGTCTTGTTGCGCTCCCATGGGGAAGAAGCCCTTCAGCTGCGCATGCATCTCCAATTTATGGTAAGAGGCGTGACGTTTCTGGGCAATGTGCAATAAGCTGCTGTCGAATCACAACACAGCGGTTCGCTGGCACAATCAGAACTCGTTACGTATTTCTGAAGGAGGGACTTCATAGAACAAGGAAGTCATCGGGCTGTTTTTTGGACAGTGAAAACAGCAGTATACAGAAGTGAATTGTGTGAAAAATACAGTGTTTTTTTACACACGAAACATAAACATGTTATATTGGACACTGTAAACACAATAAAAGCTTTAAAAAACATGAAGAACGGGACCTTTAAAAATATATCTAAATTACGCCATATGCTCTAATTGACAAATGCGGAACAGTTAGTTCATGCGTTCATGACATCAAGGCTAGATTACTGTAATGCTCTACTGGGTGGTTGTCCTGCACACTTAATAAACAAACTCCAGCTAGTCCAAAACGCAGCCGCTCCAGTTCTTACCAGAACCAGGAAGTATGACCAAATTAGCCCGGTTCTGTCAACCCTGCATTGGCTGCCTATTAAACATTGTATACATTTTAAAATATTGCTGATTACTTATAAAGCACTGAATGGTTTAGCTCCAGTACTTGAGCGAGCTCTTAACGCATTATAGTCCTTCACGTCTATTGCGATCTCCAAACTCCGGCCGGTTGATAATACCTAGAATATCAAAATCGACTGCAGGCGGGAGATCCTTTTCCTATTAAGCACCAAAACTCTGGAACAGTCTTCCTATCATTGTCAGCAGACACACTCTGTCAGTTCAAATCTAGACTAAAAACACATCTCTAGCATACACTTTGCTGCACGCGGGATCTAACGACACTAGGTTCCCACAGACGGAGGTTCTGAAGAAAGACTTCACGAGCCTTATCGATACAGTACGCAGCACATCGCCTGAAACATCGATTATAGTGTCTGGACCGCTTCCTACGTACCGACTAGGGCATGAAAATTTCAGTAGATTATTCGCGCTTATTGATTGGTTATCGTCATGGTGAACTGAGCAGAAACTGCTCTTTGTAAATAATTGGAATCTGTTTTGGGAGCGACAGAAGCTCTTCTGCGCTGATGGCTCACATCCAAGGAGAATCGGGGCATATCTTCTGTCGGATAACATCACCAAAATGTTAAATACCGTTTGACTAATTACCAAAAATCCAAATCACAGTCTCTACTGCACCAATTTAATTGATATTAATACTAGTGTAGAACATTGCATAGAAACTGTGTCTATCCCTCGTTTACTGAGATCAAATAATAAATCTACTGTGGGATCAAGAAAAATTCTTGTTGTTATTCAAACAAAAAATCTTGCTTTTAGTGAACAAAAACAATTTCTAAAGCTAGGTCTTCGCTCACACCTAAAGCGGTTATTGTAAATGAAATGGTCACAGATAATAACTTCGATGTTCTGTGCCTTACTGAAACCTGGCTTAAACCAAATGAGTATTTCGGTCTAAATGAGTCTACTCCGCCAGGATACTGTTATAAACATGAGCCTCGTCTGATCGGTCGTGGCGGCGGTGTTGCAACAATCTACAGAGATATCCTTAATGTTACTCAGAAAACTCGTCGTAGGTTTAATTCGTTTGAAGTACTTGTGCTAAATGTTACGCTGTTACATGTAAGGAAAAAATCCCTATTATCTCTAGCCCTGGCTACTGTATATAGACCTCCAGGGCCTTACGCCGACTTCTTAAAAGAGTTTGCAGACTTTCTATCGGATCTATTGGTGAATGTCGATAAAGCAATAATTGCTGGAGATTTTAACATACACGTAGATAATACAAATGATGCTTTAGGGGCTGCGTTTACAGATTTATTAAACCCCTTTGGGGTCAAACAAAACGTCAGTGGTCCCACTCATCATCTAAATCATACACTAGATTTAATTATATCATATGGAACCGATCCAACTGATATAGATATTATACCGCAGAGTGACGATGTCACTGATCATTACATGGTTACTTGCATAATACGTACTGATGAAATATGTCATGTTGCGCCACGTTATAGACCAGGCAGAACAATCCTTCCAACCACTATAGATGGATTCTCAAATAGCTTATCTGATCTGACTCAGCTGCTGCCTGAACCCAAACAAACAGATGAACTAGACGAACTAACTAGCACTATGAGCTCCGTTCTCTCTAGAACATTGGATATTGTTGCACCCATTAGATTAAAAAAGGTCAGAGAAAAAAGTATAGCACCATGGTACAATAATACTACACATGTTTTAAAGAGAGAAACCTGAAATTTAGAGCGTAAATGGAAACAAACTAATTTAGAGGTCTTTAGAATGGCGTGGAAAGACAGTATGTCACGTTATAAAAAGGCTCTTAAAACAGCCAGGGCTGAGCATCTCCGCAAACTAATCGAAAATAACCAAAATAATCCAAGGTTTTTATTTAACTCCGTGGCTAGACTAACAAATAAACAGACATCACCAGAGCAAAATATACCGTTACAGTTAGTAGTAATGATTTCATGAACTTTCAGAACAGATTCACAATTGTAAACTCTCAATCTTTGCTCGCGCCTTATAATTCATCCGCAATTATCACCCCGCCAGAACAATTACAATGCTTTACAACCATAGAACAAAAAGAGTTAAATAAGCTTATCACTTCATCTAAAACAACAACATGTTTATTAGATCCTATACCAACTAAACTACTGAAAGAAGTGTTACCTATCGTGAAAGAGCCTCTTCTTAATATTTTTAACTCATCTTTATCTTTATCTTTAGGTCATGTTCCAAGAACGTTCAAACTGGCAGTTATAAAACCTCTCATTAAGTGTTATGACCAGGCACACTAGCCACAACATAAAGTGACCGCAAAGTCAGTTTTACTCAGTTGTCTAAGAGATTTATTAAACAATGAAGTAAATTATACAAAACTGAATTTAGGAAATAACTACAACAGAATCAAAACATAACGTGGAGATCAACAACAGGCGTGGTGGCCAGAGCACAAGTCTCTCCCTCCTCTTCTCTCCGTCTGCACAAAGTGCCTCAGCTTTTAAAGGGTGTCTCTCCGCCCACTCGTTACTGAATCACACCTGCACACAATAACAAATGAAAGACATACTGAGCCAAACATGAGCAAAGGAAACAGAGGAATGTAACACACCCCCACACCAAAATGGTGACTCCCGTCTCCATAATCATAACAATACATAACATTTAATACCCTACACAACCCCCCACCAATAGCATGTGGCAATTTAAAAACAAACAAAAAAAAAACTGTAAGTAAATTTGCAAAAACAATGAATTTGAGTTATGACAATACAATTATTAAATAACTAAACATAGAAATACTAAACTAAGGTACTCTAGATAAAGCATCTGCTAAGATGTTATCAGTACCACGAATATGCTTAACCTCGATGTTAAAAGGTTGTAAGATCAAACTCCAGCGCATAAGATGCTGCTTAGCGTTTCTCATACGACTTAGGAACTTCAGAGGGTCATGATCACTATAAACAGTCCTTCTGTCTGAAGCACCCAGATATACTTCAAAGTGCCAGAGTCTCCTTTCCGATGGTGGAGTATCGCCGTTGATGTTGATTAAACTTCTTGGAGAAGTAGCAAACGGGGTGATGGACATTCTCAAGCCCCTCTTGATGGAGAACAGCGCCAGCACCTTGATCACTCGCGTCAACCATTAATAAAAAAAGGTGTTGCAAAGTCTGGTGCAGCCAACACAGGAGCTGAAATCAGTAATGCCTTTGCGTTCTCAAAAGCCCTCTGACACTGGTCCGACCACTGATATACCGCCTTTGGACTGAGTAAATCAGTCAGTGGAGCTACTACAGAAGAAAAATTTCTGCAAAAACCACGGTAGTAGCCCACCATCCCAAGGAACCTCCGTAATTCACGACGATCAGTAGGGGGAGGCAAACCACAGATAGCAGACACTTTGGCATCCAAAGGACGCACCTGGCCACCGCCTACCACTCTACCCAAGTAAGTGACTGTTGCTTTGCCAATCTCACATTTAGCCAAATTGATGGTCAAATTGGCTGCAGACAGTCGACAAAATAGCTCTCGGATCAGCTGAATATGTTCTGGCCATGACCCGCTATAAAGGACCACATCGTCCAAATAGGCCTCACAGCCAGACATGCCAGACAACACTGTATTTATCAATCGTTGGAACGTTGCGGGAGCATTACGCATTCCGAAGGCCATAACCTGGTAATTCAGGAAGTCATCTGGGGTAACAAATGCAGATATTTCTCTTGCACGACTTGTGAGGGGAATCTGCCAATAGCCTTTCAGCAAGTCAAACTTACTGACAAAACCTGCAGAACCCACCTGATCAATACAATCATCCAACCTGGGCAACAGGTAACAGTCAGGTCTAGTGACTGCGTTAACACGCCGATAATCAGTACAAAACCGAAACGTACCATCAGGTTTTTGCCACCAAAAGACACGGAGAACTCCATGCACTCATACGAGGTTCCGCAATGTTATTGAAAAGCATGTACTGTACTTCCTTCTTTAACACAGCACGCTTCAAAGGATTTACCCTACAGGGATGTTGTTTTATCGGTTTTGTTGTTCCAACATCAATGTCGTGCTCGATGACATGAGTTTGTTTAGGAACATCACTAAACAACTCTGGAAATTGATGGACAACATCCAAAATGTCAACCTTCTCAGAGTCTGTGAGGTGTGGAAGATGATCAGATAAAACTGAAAGCATTTCAGTATTATTAAGACGACCCTCAATTAGAGCACGAGATGGATTGTTTTCATTTTCTTCGCTCTCTTCCACCACAACAGACAACAGGATAGATTTATCAACAAAATCGACTTCAGCTCAGCTGGAAATGAATCTAGGTCAGTGGAAGGAGAAGCACGCTCAACATATTAATGTGACAAAGACGCTTCTGCTGCCGTCGGTCAGGAGTGGCGATTACATAATCACGGTCAGAAACTTTTTGCACCACCACATATGGGCCACTAAAACGGGCTTGTAGAGCAGATCCAGGGATGGGAAGTAACATAAGTACTTTATTACCCACTTCAAAGTGCCGATCAATGGTTTTACGGTCATACCAATTTTTCATCTTGTCTTGTGCTCTCTCAAGATTTTCATGGGCTAACTCACGGGCTCTGTGTAAACGAGAACGAAAATTTGACACATAACTCAAGATGTCTTTTTCAGGGAGTTCACTGAAAAACTGATCTTTCAAGACAGCCAATGGACCTCGTGGAGTGTGTGCAAAGACAAGATCAGCAGGACTAAAAGCTGTTTGACTCCTGTCTCACCTCTCTACAGGCGAACAGCTGCCAGGGAACTGCATCTGCCCAATCTTTACCAGTCTCAAGTCAACATGCACATAACATGCCCTTCAACATTTGATGATAACGTTCCAGTGCTCCTGACTCTCTGGATGATAGGCACTGGAAATATTATGTTGTATGCTAAGCTGTTTCAAAACACGGGTGAACACACGAGACCCCCGATCTGTCTGTATGATTTTGGGCAGACCAAACACAGAGAAATATTTTAGCAACTCTTTTAACACCACTCTGGCAGAAACTCCTCGCATAGGGATAGCCTCCGGAAAATGAGTAGCTGCACACCTCATTGTTAAAAGATATTGATATCCACCTGTAGAGCGTACCAGTGGACCAACAATATCAACAATGACATGGTCAAATGGCGGGGCCACCACGGGAATGGGATACAAAGGAGCAGGAGGGATTTTCTGGTTGGGTTTACCAACCAGCTGACAGACCTTGCAGGTTTTACAAAAACTAACTACATCCCGCTTCAAGTGTTGACTTACACGGTTTAATGTTTTGGCCACCCCTATATGACCAGCTACACAGTCATGAGCTACACTCAAAATTGTATCTCTGTATTCAAGTGGCATCACAATCTGATGAACAGAGTTACCATGTTCTGGAACATCCACGTCCTCATTAGAACACCGTCCTGAAAGAAAAAACATTGTGGTTCTTCATCAATGTTAATATCAGATGAGGCAAAGCGGAATAAAGGGAGTAGTGACACATCTGCTTTTTGAACAGCAATCAATGTTGTGCGGGATAAGCACGCAGACTCCGACATAAGTTCATTAATTGTCCTATCAGGCTCAGATAGACCAGTGACGGATAATCACTCTACTGACTCGGGAGATTTTTCAGACTCAAGATTCACAAAGAAAGAGTCAGACAGTTCATATTCAACAGGAGAAAAGTAGCGCCCGTCTTTCTTCGACATAGCGCGAGAAGAAACCGCAAATAACCTAGCAAATTACAGACCCATCCTAAAGCTTCCATTTATGTCAACAACAAAAAAAAATATTAGAAAAAGGCTCTTTCTTGCAAGAAAACGACATCTATGAAAAGTTTAAGTCTGGCTTTAGGCCACATCATAGTACAGAAACTGCGCTTGTTAGAATCACAAATGATCTACTTCTAGCTTCGGACCAAGGCTGTATCTCAATACTAGATTTGCTTGATCTTACCGCTGCGTTCGACACTATAGATCACACAATACTCTTGGATCGACTACAGAACTACACTGGTGTTCAAGGACAAGCGTTAAGCTGGTTCAGGTCATACTTATCTGACTGCTACCATTTCGTCTACTTAAATGGAGTAAAATCGATCATAACTTTGGCAAACTATGGAGTGCCACAGGGATCTGTGTTAGGCCCTCTGCTATTCTCAATATATATGCTGCCACTTGGTAATATTATAAGGAAACATGGAATTAGTTTCCATTGTTATGCTGACGACACTCAATTATATATTTCATCACGGCCAGATGAATACGCTAAACTATCCAAATTGACAGATTGTGTTAAAGATATAAAAGATTGGATGACGCGTAATTTTCTTTTATTAAATCCAGACAAGACAAGAGGTAATACTTATCGGTTCTAAAAAGCGTCCACAAAACCGTTTGCAGCACGACTTTAACATATTAGGATGCCCCGTTACTCTATGCGCTACAGTAAAAGACCTCGGTGTTACATTAGACTGCAACCTGTCCTTTGAAAATCATTTTTCTAGGGCTGTGAATCTTTGGGTAGACAGCAAATCGATTCCATTCACGATTCATAGGTTTTCGATTCGATTCAAGAACGATTTGTGCAAATTCAGAACGATTCAATTCGATGCGATTCAATTAATTCGATTCGATTCTTAATTTTTTATATGCATTATAGTATTATTTCAATGCTTCACCCAATGGGTCTTTTAGCCTACACAGCGGCCTTCGGGGGTCAGATAGTGGGGATTTTGACCATTGTTAATGTTAGTTCATGTTTGTTTTTAATTTTAATGAATATATTATTATAAAAAAATTCAATGGCCTACAAATTAGCATTTGTAGAAACCTACCTAAGTAGCCAATATTTTGAAAAAGGCTTTTAAAGAAGTGCATTAAATGACTACATGCACAAATAAATGGAGACGTTTTCATTGGTTTCATTTTGCGTCCTCTCAGTGCACTCGTTAACATCTTTTCACTGGATTTTGCTCGCGCTCGGTCCCACTGCATTCTTGAGCGGTCCATGTTTGAGCTCTCCAGCTGAGTTCCTTGTACCAGGAACACTTTAAGGTTGTGTTTATATATTTTAAACCACTGACTCGATATAAAATTGCGATTAATTCGCTTCTTAGCCTTTTAAATCGATTATTCACATAAATAAACGATTCACGATTCAAAAAACATGTTTCAGGATTGATGCATACCCAGACAGCAAACTGACATTGAATCAACGTGGAAACGACGTCTCTCATGACATTGAAACAACGTTGATTTTGCTCATCGAATTAACGTTGAACCGATGTCAGACGCGGCATTCTTCAAAGATAAATGAAAATCGAAAATTGGTTTGCTTTCATAACATTGAAACAACGTTGATTTCAAGTTGATTTTCCGTTAGTTTTGAAAGAATGACGCGTCTGACGTTGGTTCAACGTTAATTCGATGAGCAAAACAATGTCAGATCAACGTTGTTTCGATGTCATGTTTCCACGTTGATTCAATGTCAGTTTGCTATCTGGGTATGCATCGTCAGGATTTATAATCGATGCATCGAGAAAACGAGTGAATCGTTACACCCCTACATATTTCATATGTTACAAAAACAGCCTTTTTCCACCTTAGAAACATTGCTAAGCTACGTAACATGCTACCTGTTTCTGATGCAGAAAAGTTAGTTCACGCATTCATGACCTCGAGACTAGATTACTGTAATGCTTTATTAGCCAGTTGTCCTGCATCCTCAATAAACAAGCTACAGTTAGTACAAAATGCAGCCGCTAGAGTTCTTACCCCAGACAGCAAACTGACATTGAATCAACGTGGAAACGACGTCTCTCATGACATTGAAACAATGTTGATTTTGCTCATCGAATTAACGTTGAACCAACGTCAGACGCGGCATTCTTCAAAGCTAAATGAAAATCGAAAATTGGTTTGCTTTCATAACGTTGAAACAACGCGTTGATTTCAAGTTGATTTTCCGTTAGTTTTGAAAGAATGACGCGTCTGACGTTGGTTCAACGTTAATTCGATGAGCAAAACAATGTCAGATCAACGTTGTTTCGATGTCATATTTCCACGTTGATTCAATGTCAGTCTGCTATCTGGGACTAGATCAAGAAAATATGATCATATAACACCGATTCTATCATCACTTCATTAGTTACTTATAAAGTTCCATATTAATTACAAGGTATTACTTTTGGCTTATAAAGCTCTAAATGGTTTAGGTCCAGCCTATTTAACAGATCTTCTATCGCCCTACTCTTTAAGATCACTAAATTCGAGGCTTCTGGTCATTCCTAGGATATTCAGATCCACCAAAGGAGGGAGAGCATTTTCACATTTAGCCCCGAAGCTCTGGAATAGCCTTCCTGATATTGTTGGTTGTTTAAAACTAGACTAAAGACGCATTTATTTAGCCAGGCATTCATATACATTTTTTATCCTATAGTCACTGTATATTTGGCCTCTAGTTTATAAACGCCAGAGGAGAACTGGCCCCCGACTGAGCCTGGGTTCTCCCAAGGTTTTTTTTTTCTCCATCGGGTCACTTGATGGAGTTTTTCGGTTCCTTGCCACTGTTGCCTTTGTCTTGCTCAGTTGGGGATATTCAAATTAAATGACCCATCACACCATTGATCAGCTCTACCAAACCTGGTTGTCTTTTTTTTCCAGTTATAAACAAACACTGTGATGTTGTCTTAATTGATACTGTGAAGCAGCTTTGATACAATCTGTATTGTGAAAAGCGCTATAGAAATATATTTGACTTGACTTGACCTAACTTGAGTGAAAGAAGGAGAAGGAGAAGAGATGGGTCGAGAGGAAGAAGAAACAGGAGAAATCACAAGAAGACATGATCAGAGTGACATCATTACTGTCAATATAAGCCAGAAACGGTTTTCATCATCGTGTTTATTATGAAACATCCGTTGAAGAGTTGAAGATGATGAGGCTCCTCTCAGTCAGGATGAAGACCTGCAGTCTGTGTGATTAATATTCACGTTACTGAGGTTGATTATTCAGGATATCAAATTCCAGATAATGTTTGATCAATTATAAATGCCATAAGTCATTATTCAATTAACTGAGTGAAATGTCAAACTTACCACCATTAACGTGGTACTATGATCTTCTCCTTAGAAATAAAAAGAGTAAGTTGAAAAATGAAATGCCATGATGTTTATATTGTTCCATAAGTGGACCGGCGCGCTCTCACCTCACAGCCCAGTTCTGATCTTGTAGTAAATGAATCCAGCCGCGGCGGTGGTGATTCCCAGCATCAGTCCGGCAGTTTCAACGGCCAATAAGAGTTCAACATTCAGCTCAAACTCCGGGACAGGAGGGTCTGCGAGAGACACACGTCGCTCTATTATCACAATAGCATTCAATAAACTATAGGCTAGCTGTGCATTAAACAGTTTTAAAGGGGTCGTCGGATGCCCATTTTCCACAAGTTGGTGTGATTCTTTCGTCTTCATGTAAAGATTGAAACATACTTTGGTTAAAAGTCCCCAATGGTTGTGAAAAACAACACACTCTTCACAGCGACCCGCTTTCAGCGCATGTCTCTTTAAATGATAATGAGCAACTGCCCACACAAACACACGTTTTTATGCGAACCCCATATAAAAGTGAATTTAGCAATACTAAATTGTATTGCATGCCAGCCAATCAGAGTGTGTATTCAGACAGAGCATGCTATAAGTGTAATATACTGAACTGTTTCGTGTGTTGTATTGTTGTGTAGTTCTCTCGTACCCCAGTGGTAGACCATGGGCTTGCTGAAGCTGGCGTGCTCCACCACACAGGAGATCTGCTGTCCGGCTCGAGGAGTGTATTCCAGCTCGGAGTGGATCTGGTACAGCCAGTCTCCATTCGGCAGCTCCTCTGTGCTGGTCACATCAGACGTCACCAGCACACCGTCCTCATACCAGGACACTTTAATCCGCTCAGGGTAGAAGTCGTACACACTGCACATGACCAGAGCGGGGTGTGTGTCATCGCCCGGCATCACTGAGCGGAGCTTCACCCTCGGCTGCACTGAACCCAGGAGAGACACATGCTGAAGTACATCTAAACCTCTTTAGAAGAAGAGCTCTGAGCAGAGGTGTCCCGTACCTGTTTTGTTGTAGACGGCTGCTTCTGTGACTTCAGCATTATGCCTGCAGAACACATCTACTTGAGCCCTGGTTTGCTGTAATATGCCTGGGTCGTTGTTATAGTTCTCTGCGATTCTCACTCCAAACTCAGTAAACCCCACAAACTTCCCCACGGTGCTGTTGAACTTCACAAATGGATATTTATTGAAGTAGAAGCCTTCAATGTACACCATGTCACTGAGATCAGGGGAGCTGTAGATGCATTGTGTCCACTGGTGGAAATAATAGCCATCCGCTGAAAACATGAGATTATTTAAACAGTAAAAACACATTATTACACATAATTTAATATTACATATTAAAACATTTATACTAGGGGTGAGACGATACGCTTATCTCACGAGACGAGACACGAGATTGGGTTCACGAGAACGAGACGAGATTTTTGCATCCTCAATGACAAAATTCATGACTGGAAAAATAGTATGCAGGTGCATTTTACGATCTTTTAATAATGCACTATGCATGTCATTTCAGATCTACTTTATGAACTATCAAATGCATTGAAAGAAAACAATATACAAGCACTGGAAAAGGTTTTTATTGACTGGCTGTTCTCCTGTTTGATTTCACACGAGTCTCTTCAGACCTTACTGTACATTTAAGAGCTTCCAGAACTTCTGATTGAGGCTGTGTGTGTGTGTGTGTGTGTGACCTCCTAACTGATCTCATTGAAATCTGAAGTGCAAACAATAAGTGCAAGTGCAACTGTAATCAAAGTTAGTACACAGACTCTTTATAATTGTTTTGAAATAGCTGTTTTATTTTGCACCGGCAGTTACAGGGTTGATGCTGCGAGTTCATGAATGAGAAACGAGGCTGGTGTGTTTGTCTCTATGTTGTTCTGATTATAAGTTCAGAAACAGAGCCTCCCTTGTCTGTTGTCCTTAAGACATTACAGTACTCTCTCAATATTCGAAGTGCAAACAGAGACCATAGCCGCAGATAAACACCGCAGAGATGGGTATTGGGAGATCAGCGAGCTTGTGTTTTACTTCGATACCACAACGAAAACTACTAGCCTGACTAATAAACTTCAAACTTTTTTTAACAAAAAGTATAAAAACCAGCAATAATAGTATCCGGCTGTAGATAAGACTGGAGCGCTGTATTCCAGGTTTGAATATAATAACTATAATATACAAGACTTAAGCTCGGAAACTTCAAAACGGACACCCATACATCATCAAGTATCATGAAAGTGCATCGTCTATATATGACTTTTTGAAGTCTGCAAAAGCATATAATCGCTTTGTATGGTAAACAGGCTGAATCATTAAATTCAATTCAGTTAAAGGTATAGCGGAGGATCTTTCTGAATTTTAGAGAAGACCCGCCCTCTCCAATTTTTTTTAAAAAATGCACATGCACAAACACAACACTCTTGCTCCCGAGAGGGAACGCCTATTACGCCTCGCGCAATTATGTTGCAAATTATAAACAAACTCAAAAACATTCATAAAAAAGACAACATGTCAAATGCCCTTCCGTGTTTTATTTACTTATTATACTGATCGATTGAGTGACCGAGGACTCAAGACATGATATGTACAACCCTGTATCACACGAAATACGTTCTGATGAAACTATTTTGCAATCGCAATTACGTTAAATGGCAACATATAAGCAGAATCGCAATTACGTTAAATGGCAACATATAAGCAGTGCTATGTCTCATTGTCGTAGGTTTTAATACGTTATTTTTACACATAGTTGCATATGTAATGGAGAAGTAGCTTGTTGCATTTGTGTAATAATAAACACACAAGATTTTAGAATATGAACACACAAGGTTTTAGAATATTTCAGCGTAATACCATTTACCATTTGGTCAAAAGGCTTTAGACGAATTGAGATGTTTACCGTGTCTATGCGGTGCATTGTGCCAGGGCTAGCATTGCTAAGTAGCTTGCATTAACTTTTACTAGTGATTTTAAATGGATTTCTCCAAATAGCATGACAAACTTTACCTGTCTGGTAGAATCTTCGTAACTGCGGCATCAGTGAGAAGCCCAACCTGTGCTTTTAGCGCACGCCAGCGTGTGATATTAACCCAAAATCACTCTGGTCTTGTTTCTATATTCTGTGGCCTTTCTCTTCTTATCATACACTTCGTATACATTTTTTCTCTTTCGACCCTCAGCCATTTTCAAAGGAATGGCTGAAACTGTAACTCCGACATAATACACCTGAAAGTGAAAACTACATAGTGATGAGCACGTACGACGGCCTTACGTAAACATATCACCAGAATGATTGACACTTAGGTGGACCAATAGTATAGACTACCCACCCGGAAAAAGAAAATCCTCCGCTATACCTTTAATCAATAATTAAATTACAGAGGTGAACAATGACTTACATTTCATACACAAAGACTCGAGTCATAACTACAGTTTGTTTGTGTGTGTTTTGTAAAGCGGATTAATCTCACCTGCTCCCGTGAGTACGGACAGCATGAGAATGTGCTGAAAACTCCAGAGCCCTGGCACTGACATCTTCACACACACACACACACACACTCTCTCTCTATCACCACTGAGAGAGCCGAAACACTGTTCATCTTCATGTGACCAACATCTCAAACCACTGACCAATCAGACGCTCTTTCTACATGCGTCATCTGTTGCTGAGCAAAATCAAGCTTTCATTTCTAAAGCAGTTCAAATAACAGATTAAACACAACTAACCCATTTAAACGTACATTCCTGTTAGGGTTAGGACTAATTTCTTACGTATCTAATCCCATGCCTCCGTAGCTAATTCCAAAACATCATTTTAGAGTTATAGTAACGGAGGTTTGAGCCACTGATAGCAGACTAATGATGGGGACACACTTACGACTCGCTGAAATATTCAAAGACCGACTGTTTCCATCGACTGAAGCAGGTCTTATTAAACACACACTATGAACACAGACTGAACACGTGTTTGGGCATGATCAGTCAGAAGTATCAAATTACGTTCATAATGTGTGTCCTGCAGTTATTAGAGAGAGGAAGAGAGGGAGAGAGAGAGAGAGATTAAAACTTCATTTTAATTAATTCGTTCATTTCTGTTTTCTATGACAGTAGATAACCCAATAAATGAAACACACACAGCCCTTTTAAAAAGTAGGCCTATCAATAATTATTTATTTGTCATATTATCTGAAATAATTACGAAAATCCATGCAGCAGTACTATTAATTTATTTATATAGCCTATTCAGTTTAATTTTCTATTTAGCCTATTATAGATAGGACTACATACATTATTTATTCAAAAAAAAAAAACTGTATGTGTCCATTGATTGTGAAGTCATTTCGACATCTAAGATTGCCGATCGCCTGAGCGCATGGGGCTGCATGTCTTCTCTTGTTATGAATCGTATCCTATTTTCCGTTATTACAAGCCATGTTTCCATCCACTTGTCAATCGAATTATCTGAAGTTCGGTAAAAAAAAAACACATGCGAATAAAGCTGGTGAAAGTGTGTTTCCATCAAACGGCTTTAAAGCGAATAAAAACCTGTACGTAATGACGTCACATGCTGTTTTGCGATCAAATTGGTATATTGAATTGATTTGAGACATTTTAAGGTGTTTTCATTTATTTTCGCACTGAATCGAACAACATTCAAGCAAACTTTTGCGAACAAAGTTTTGTTAGACAAAACGGATCGCGCCATCCACCAACAAATGATCAATATTTCACAAGTTGAAGGCTAATAATGCTTATGTGCCAGCTGATAGCGAAACATTATTGGGATAATGTATGCGAGGCGGTTGTTGAAGGGGTTGTATGTATTCGCTATAACAACCGCCTATATTATCCTGCTTATTACATATAAATCAACCAAATAAATCAATAATTTGACACAAAATATTGACTTAAAAACGAGTTTATTGATTTAAAAACGAGTATTGCTTCTGCTAAAGAAAATAGTCTGTTCCGTCTCCATGGCAACGGTGTGTTAGTTAGCAGCGCCGCAGTCTGTTAACCAGAAATAACAGACCACATTATACATTACAATTGAACCAAGCCACGTAAAAACAAGCAAAACTAATTTAAGAAAACAACGACACTATAAACATTGCTATGATGATGACGATGCCCGTATGCCCGCGACGACAGCGGAGGTGACTGTGGTTTGGGAACGAGCGCTCAATCAGCTCTGCCTCTGGGAGATCGTGGTTTACGGAAACCCTTTGGTTGAAGCATGTTTTTGCTTTGTGTCTTTGTTGACGTCATCCGCCATGTGTGCGCAAACAGACTGGCCGGAAATGAACTCGTCTTCTGACATGTTGCAACCATAAAAGGGCATAAAACTTAATCGCAATTAATTATTTATTCGGCAAATAACGTTTCCATCAGCTTTTATCACATTAGCCGTATATCGATCAAGAGAAAATTCGATGAGACCGAACGTATTTCATTTGAGTCCATTTTCATGAAATTTCATCGAATTTTACTGTTTCCATAAGGCATTTTTCATTCGATATCACTTGATTCGGATAAAAAAGTGTCGATGGAAACATGGCTACAGTTAACCACGCGCAGTGATATGGAACTGTAATGCGGTCAAACCTGCCGGAACTACTTTAGCCGTGCGTTTCCCTGAAAATAATTGCTCACCTGTAGAACGTTCTCAACCAATCAGAATCAAGCATTCACCAGCCCTGTAGTATAAACAAAGTTATTATGGGAGCAGCTAAAAAAATGAATGGGCCAAGAACATAAAACAAGAAAACCTGTGGTACTAGAAAGAATATCAGGAACCCAGCAGAAGTAGCTACGACATTTAATCATTATTTTGATGACTCGGTTACAGTCATTTTTATTTACATTTGAGGTATGAATGATGATTATATCAGAGAGATTCTGTCCTGGTCTCTCTATTGTAAATGAAGTCCGATTACTGTGATGATCACCCTTTGTCTCTAATGGCTCAGCAAGACAGTCCTACCAGTCCCGTTCTCCTGCTTCAGTTTGAATAGTTATGATGATTGGCTATCACTCTCAGTCTAGGACAGGTTGAACTGGTATGCTTCATTTACATGCTCTCCGCCCCTAAATATATATTGTAAGGGAACGTTTCCTTAGTCAGACTTGTCTTGACGTGACTCCAGCTACCAACAGCTTGTGTTTCTCCATAAAGAATCCTGCTGAAGATGAAGTCTCCTGGTCTCCGCTTCTGAGTTTCCTACACTTTAGAAGAAAAAAGTTCCCAACGAATGGACACCGCACACAGCAATGCTCAAAAACTTCAGCTTTTCACAAAAATTACGAATCACGTCAAGCATAATTTCCAAACACATAACCCTACACATGGAAAACAGCCATTGTGTCACCCATTTTTAAATCAGGAAACCCACAATTCGTCTCTAACTATAGACCTATAAGTATTTTACCTGCAATGTCTAAGGTCCTTGAGAAAGGGACATCTGATCATATAAAAGACCATTTAAATAAAAGCTCTTTTCTTCTTCACCCACTACAGTTTGGTTTCTGACTGAGTCAGCTAGTTGCTATTTTACTGATAAAATCAAGTTATCACTTGACAGCAATAGAATTGTAAGAGCAGTCTTTCTTGAGCTTAGAAAAGCATTCGATACAGTAAACTATAGTATACTACTGGCTAAATTATCCTCTTTTAATCTTTCAGATATCACAGACTGTAACATTCGTTTGTTCGTTGGGTCAAGTTGCTGTTCTCCCGAAGGAACACTTGACGAAGTGCTAATCCTGTCACAGCTTTTTGCTACCATATGCAAAAAAAGCGAGGCGCTGGAGAGCACAATTCGCTTGAATGCAAACTACATTTTCACTGTTAGATGGGAGAAATTCCTTTTAAAGAGTGTGTGAGTCTTGTCCTACACACATACGATGGGTCAGACGCCACTGCTAAGACTGCAGTTAAGATGTGAATACACTTTCGTCTGTGTAGTTTCCCCGTTCCCGTGTTGCCTGTGTTCCAGCTCATGGTTTTATCACGCACCAGTTTCTGTTCCAGTTATTGACCTCACTCTGTGTTTTTAAGCCTTTAGTTCCTCTCCGTTCTTTGCTTGGTTTGGTTTCTTCTTCTGTATGTGTATTGTATCTGTGTATCTTCTTTGTGAGGGAGAAACAGTCCTCCAGTTTTCTGCGACCGCTGAATAAAGTTAAAAATCAACAAAATATTGCATTTTGTTTGCAATGCTGCATAATCCCCCATTTCACAGCAAAATGTTACAAAAATGACAAGATCTCTCAAAAAATAAATTAGAGTTTTCTACAATTGAACTATCCCTAGTTTAATGTGCATTATAATGCATTATTTAGATGAGGATACAGATGTCATGCAGGTTATGTCAGTGGTCTATCTGTCAGCCATAGACATAGAAATAGAAAGAATTTTGCAAACTCGTTAATTCATCTAAATCAACGACTTGTATGCTAGACCCTATACCAGAGCCGGCCCGAGCCTTTGGGGGCCCTAAGCAGAATTGGATTTGGGGGCCCCTCCCACTACGCAAAGTCAAAGTCACCTGTGCTTGACGATTATTGACACAAATGTCACACAATAATGATACATTATAAATAGGGATGTCCCGATCAGGTTTTTTTGCCCTCGAGTCCGAGTCATTTCATTTTGAGTATCTACTGCCGATACCGAGTCCCGATTCGATACTTCTATAATATATACAAAAAAGAATAAATAAGAGCGAAAAAACCAGATCCAGATTCCAGGATGCTCCTAAAATTTTATGTAATTAGTCTTATTTTAACATTTGACAACTCTGTTAACAAACAGAGCACTTATGTGCGGTAGCTTGAACAATCAGATAATAGACATAAATTCTTCACTTTTGCACTTTAGTGCAAAAGTATATATATATATAAAGTCTAATATAAAATCAAATAGCACTCATTACGATCATTTGTGCTACCTTGGCTGAGATGTCCTCCGGCTTCTCACAATCAAGGGGCATTTTTCTCTCCTCTTCAAACTGTCCTGCAGAGTGAGTCGACTCGTCTTCGGCGGGGTTGCCTGGGTGAACTCGCTGTATTGTGTCGGGTGTTTGTTTTTGACGAGCCGTATCAGGTTTGTTGTGTTAAATGTAGCCTTTATCTTTCCACCTCTTGAGATCCCAAGTCTACATATCTCACAGTTTGCTATGGTAATGTTGTTGTCATCAACTTAAAGTTACGCATAAATATACTGATAAAGACACTGTCAGCAGTATTGACAGCAAAATAGACCACAGAATATTTTGTTCTGTATTGACAGGTGGAATATTTGAAAATTAATAATTATTTATTTATTTCTTAATTATAGCCTATTTATATCAGAATTTGTCAAAACCTAGACTTTCAACCATCAACATTTAATTTATTAATATGTATTCGTGTACAAAATAACATATAAACATCTTTTCCTATTCTATTTCTGCCTGGAAACTTCTAACCCTTGAGTGTCGCGTGAAAATAGGCGTCGGTTCTATTTCTAGCATGCGCGCGTTTTCCGCGCGTCACTCAAGCAGTCTGCAAGCTCTAACCTGTTAACATGGGAATCGGAAGGTAACATCCGATCGAGTCTGAAACCATGTGATATGGCCCGATTTCCGATCACTTGGTCGGATCGGGACATCTCTAATTACAAATGAATACAGTGTATTAATACAAAATTAATATTTTATAAAAAAATAGATGCATGCTTAAATAAAAAAGGTTCAACTTTAATGTTACTCTTTTACTAACTCTTTGAAACTTCTTAAAACAAACTGTCTCAAAACATATAAAAATAAATTATTTAAATTAATCGATGTGAGAAGAACAGGACAGCATTCGTCAGTTTCAATGACAGCAAATTAAACAACAAAAGCCTTAAT